GGAGGGAAATGGAGCCCCGGAGGCTCTCAATTCTCAGCCCCGCGGGAGGCCCCGGGAGAAGCGGCTCCCAGGGTGGCGGGGCTGCCGGGTTAGGAACAAGTCCCTGACACAGGGGCTTGCACAGGCGCACAAATGAAAGAAAATCAGAGGAGATGAAACCATACAAATTTCGGGTAATAGAAAGAGAGGAAAGAGATGCGCGTGTGGCCTGGGTCTCGGCTCAGAAAGGTCGATCCAAGAAGACGCTGCCCAACTTTCTATTACTTTTCAGAAAGCCAGTGAGCTGAAAAATAACTCTCACCTTTTTTATATTATTATTCGCTTCTTCAGAGTTTCTTCTTCACATTGTTTTGTGCATCTCAGTTGTTCATTTCTCCCTGGCCTGATTTCATTTGGAGATTTGGCCTGGAGCCTGCAGAGGAAGATGGCCCGGCTCCTAAGAAGCACGTTTTTATTTCAAGCCCTCCACAGTCTCTGTGGTTCTGCAGCCCTTGGCGGGTGGGCGAGCGGGAAGGGGCAGGGCTCACCTTCTCCTCGGGTTCCCAGGCATCTGTGTGTTACTCAGGGTAGACACACACATGCACACGCGTGTGCATGTTTGGGCGGGTCTGACTCTGCACGTGGGTGGGAGCGTGTGGGTAGGCTTAGGCATGTTTGTGAGGGGTCCCTGTGAGCAGGCCTGTGGTTCATGCGTATGTGTGGGGGCACCGTGAGCATGCGTGTGTGAGGGAGGGAGACTCGCCATGCGTGTGGGGGGCAGCGTGTGTGGGAGTGCGTGCACACGCGTGGCCCGCTCGCCTGGCGGTTGGGAGGGCTGTGCCGTGGCTGTTTTCTGTCTCACTCGAGTCTACAGTGGCAGTAACTGGCTCTTTCACCTTTTGCCAAGCTCTGCGAGGCGCAGATGTTGTTTGAGCCAGGGAAAATGTCAGCCCCCAGGAGGGGCCCGGCTTTAACTTCGAGCGAGCCCCCAGGACGCGTGGCGCTGTATGCCAGGCATTGTGCTTTGGCCCCATTTGCATTTGCTCTTTCCAGTAAGGAAAGACTGGTGGGTGGCAGGAAGAGGGGAAGATGTCTCAGTGCCTGCTGCCCCGCCCAGCTCTCCTGGGCTCCTGGGGAGCACCCCCCCACCCCGGCACCGGAGGATGCCCCAGAGTAGCGGCAGGAGCGAGGCCCTAACCAGCACCGCCTCCATGGCAACCTGGGAAGGGTCTTCGTGGGGTGAAGAGGCAGCTCCTGGCCGCCAGGTGGGAGCCTAGCTGGCAGAGTTGGGCTCCGGCACCAGTCATGCCCTGGGCGGGCCCATCTGGCCGTGTGCCCTATGGGACCGGTGGCAGGATGCCTGAGCCTTGCTGGAGCCAGCGGAGCAAAGGGCATGAGGGTTCCCCCCTCCTTCATGGCCACCACGAGCATGGCCAAGCCCGAGTCAGGACTTTGTGTGCGGCCCTCTGTGCCCTGCAGGGAGAGCCCCGTGCTGTGCAAACGCCAGCACTTACGGAGCCCCTTCCAAGGGATCTGCACCTCCAGGGCCCTATCACCATAGAGAACATGCCCCTTGGCGCTACCCACTACCCTATGAGTTAGGCAGATGGGGACACTTTGGCCCAGAGAAGCTAGGTGACCTACCCAGGGGCACCCAGCCAGCAGGCAGAAGAGCCCAGCTCAAACTGCCTGGGGCTGTACCACAGGTGGGACTCACTCTTGGGCCAGGCAAGCTGGAAGGAGTGAGGGAGCCCCAAGAGAGTGAAACCAAGAAGGACTTCTTTGTATTGTTAAATATTTATTTATTTGAAAGGCAGAGTTACAGAGAGAGAGGCAGAGGGAGAGACACAGAGGGAGAGAGTTCCCATCTGCTGGTTCACCCCTTAAATGGTTGTAACAAGGCTGGGCCAGGCCAAAGCCAGAAGCCTGGAACTCCATCCGGGTCTCCCATTGGGAAGCTGGATGGGAAGTGGAGCAGCCGGGACTCAGACTAGAGCTCATACAGGATGCCGGCGCCACAGGCAGTGGCTTAACCTGCTGCGCTGCCGTGCCGGCCCCAGAAGAAGAGTACGAGCACGGGGTGTACCAGGTCCCGAGTAGGCCCGGGCCTGCTTCTGGGGAAGCCCAGTGCCTGGAGAAAGGGGACTCCGGGGGACGGTACTGTCCCTGCTGTCTCGGCACCAGGAGGCCCACGGGCTGCTCCCCAGCTGATGTTTGATCAGTCTGCACCCCGTGGGTGCCACGGGAGGCAGGGGGGTGTGATGAGAAGATTCCACGTGGCACCTGCAAGTCCCTAAGCTCTCAGCATCTGCAACACGGCGATGCGGATGGGGTGAGGTGTGAGCAGGCTGCTCCAGGCAGAACCCCCGTGTGTGTCGCCCACGTGCTGCAGGTCTGCTCCATTTCCCAGCTGCTGCCGTGGGCCAGGGTGGGCTCAGCCCATGCTCACCCTTCTGCTCGGGCCCTGACACCGACCCCACATCGGAAGCCAGGGATGTGGCAGCTGTGGAGGTCCCCTCACTGGAGGGGGTCTCCTGATACAGCTGGGTTCCCACGGAGGCAATGCTGCACGCAAACTGCCTTCTCCTCTCTGCTCAGGACCAGAGGCAGCCAACCAGGGGGCGCCAGGAAGATGCCAGCTTGCCCCAGAGAAGGCCTTAAAGGCAGGGCAGCCCGGGAACCCTACCTATTCCTCAGCACCAGGGCCTCCAGGTCACCAAACCTGGGTTTCCCCTGGGGGCAGCAAACCCTGGCGTGTGTGGTTAGCGATGACTGGCAGGTATCAGGAGGCTGTCAGCCGTGTGCCATGAGAAGCGGCTCTGCAGGGCAGCATGAGGACAAGCGTGGGGCGGTGGAGCAGCCAGGTTAGCTGGGGGACGTTGGCTCCTTCCTCCTGTGAAGACCGGGCACGGAGCTACCAAAACGGAAGAACGTCAGGGAATTAAATGAGGTAATAGGGAAATGCCTGTGACCCCCGCAGTCTAATTAGTCTAAAAGGAACATAATAGCCCAGGTCGTGTGACCTTGTGCAAATTACCTGAGCCCTCTGTGTCTCTTATCTATAACATGAGACTAGTAAGAGTCTCCACCTCATAGGGTTAAATGAGGATTCGATGAGGATTAAGGGAGGATTAAGGGAGTTAATATTTATAAGGCACTTCCAACAGTACCTGCTGCATGAATTATAATTAAAATCCTCACGAGGATGATTTGCACCATCACCATCTACCCGGTGAAGCAGGGAGTGCTGCTCTCCCATCTCATAGATGAGGAAACTGAGGGTAGAGGGGCTAAATCACGCACTCAAGACCTGAGCTCCAGGCGAGGCTGCTTCCCATTCCTAACCCCCAGGGCTGTCGGCGGCTATGAAGATTGCCCCAGGTCCCTCCTGGCCCAGCCCAAACAGACGTCTCCTCCCTCCCATCTTCGGAAGAGCCCCCACCATCCGCTCAGCAGCTGGAACAGGCTTTCCCTCTGAGAGACAGACAGCTGTCTGCTCTCCAGACAAGAGGGCCGCTGGCCGGGCGTGGCTCCTGCTCCAGGGTTCTCCAGAAAGCCTTAGGCCAGCCATCCTCCCCTGGCCTCAGGCCAGTTCACAGGCAGTTGGTAGAGCCACCGCTGCCACTGTGGGTGTGTGCACGCATGCGTGTTGAGGTGGGGGGAGGTGGGAACCGTCCCCCCAGGGACTCAGCTGCAATGGGAGCCCACAGCCAGAGTCTGAATGACAGGGTGCCTTTCCCAGGTGCCTCCTGAAGGAACTTGGGGGCCGCTCCCCACCGCCTCCCCACGTCTCCGTACCCTCCCACAGCACGCACGCACACACGCACACACGTACACGGAGGGAATGACCAAGCGCAAGAATCCTCATGTGCGACTTTATATGGCAAATAATTGAACCATACCCTTGTGGTCTCGGGAGGAGTTTCATCCATATTCATGCCCGCGTTTCCTGTGGACATTCCAGCACAAGGCAGGAGCAGGGACCAGAGCGCTAATTCGCCTTCTCTGCCGTGCCCATCCCGGGCTCCAGGGAGAGCGGTTCAGAGAGTGTCCGACAGCAGGACAGGGCAGCCAGCCCTCCTCCTTCCTCCGTGGCCCCTGCCCGCCCCTTCGCTTCCTCCCTCCCTCCCTCCCTCTGGCCCCTTCCTCCTTTCCCTTCCTCTGCCTCTCTTGTGCCCAGCTCTCCTCTCCCTCCCTCTGCCTCTTCCAGCCTTCCTCCTGCTCCCTCCTCTTCCTCCTCAGCTCCCCGAGCCTCCCCTCCATTCCCCTCCATCCAGCGCCAGGCTGCGGATGGAGTTTCCTGGTCTGGTGATATTGGGGAGAGGGTGTGGTTGGTGGTGGGGTGGAGGGGGCTAGGGGGGGTGCTGGGAAGCTGGCTTGGAGCACCGTGGCTATGAATACCAAGCATGTTAATAGGTTAAAGTAAATCTAAAGTAACATTTGAAAGCAGAGAGATGAAAGGAGATCACAGGCCAAAGATCAAACAATCTAGAGCCACTTCTAAGCCTTTTACAGCTGGAGATTATTAGCATTTGAAAGTGAAGAGCATTAGAGGGAGAGAGAGGGAAAAAAAAAGTTGGAAGGAATTTTTGTTGTGGAGATAAAAACTGAAATAAATGACGGTGGAAAGGGAGAACTAGAAAGAGGCTGACTTATTTAAAAAACCACATTAGGATAGTGGCGGTGCTGACGGGGAAACACCTCGCGCTGTATTTTTAGCTCATCAAGCCGCATCCAGGCTGGCTGCTGAGGTCTGAGGCCTCCCCTCCCTTCCTTGCCGTGGCGGGAGGAGGCTTGTGGTATGTGCCCCCTCCCCTCCAGCAAGGAGGTGGAAGCCCTGCTCTGGGCCAGGAATATGGCCCAGAAAGGAAAACGGCAGGCACTGGAGCTGGGACCAGGTCCCCAGGCCCCCAGCCCCCACCCCAGCCCCTCCAGAGGCTGCCCCACCAGTCCTTAGGGTCCTGGAAGAATGAAGTAAGCCAGCATCTGAAACCTGTGCCCTGTACACTTTCAGTCAATGCTGATTTTCTTTCTTTCTTTAAGATTTATTTATCTATTTGAAAGTCAGAGTTACACAGAGAGAGGGGCAGAGAGGGAAAGAGAGTCTTCCATCCACTGGTTCACTCCCCAGCTGGCCACAATGGCTGGAGCTGAGCCAATCTGAAGCCAGGAGCTTCTTCCGGGTCTCCCACGCAGGTGCAGGGGCCCAAGGACTTGGGCGATCTTCTACTGCTTTCTCAGGCCATAGCAGCAGGGGCCCAAGGACTTGGGCCATCTTCTACTGCTTTCTCAGGCCACAGCGGAGACCTGGATGGGAAGTAGAGCAGCCGGGACTCGAACTGGCACCCATATGGGATGCCAGCACTGCAGACTAGGGCTTTAACCCCACTACACCACAGCGCCGAATGCCTGTTTTCCAAGCACCTCCTTCCTACAGGTTAAGCGTCTCCACTCTTCCCATCTGAAATCCCCAGTGCTCCAGAGGGTAGACTCAGGAGTGTTTGGGACTTCACGTTTCAGAATGGGGGTGCTCTGACGGAGAGGTCCACGCAAATATTCCCAAGTTTAAAAAACTCTGAAATCTGAACCACTTCTGATTCCAAGCATTTCAGGTGAGGGAAACCCCGCCTGCATGTGTGAAGCACTCCGGCGCTAAGAAAATAGTGAACAGATCAGGCAGGGTGTCTGTGTGTGGGGCCCTTACAGGAGCGCGGGGGAGGCGGACAGTGAGTACACAGACCTCGGGCTGAGCACGTGGGACTGGGCACGTCCATTTATCATGGCTTCCTCCTGAAATCATACCAATACGAAATTCGAGCCACTAAAAGCCCACCACGAGAAAGGAGTGGAGAGATACCACGAGCAGAGGAGAAATGTCTTCAGATATCTGGACGATGAAAAGCCAAATGCAGGGGTGACAACTGCGTGAACAGAGCAGAAGAGACCCCCATGGCCCGGCCTGCAGAGGGAGGGGTCCCTGAGGAAGAAGACCTGGCCCCTGCAATCCCCAGGGAGCCCAGAGAGTACCCGTGTCATGCCTGGCAGCCCCGAGAGGAGACAGCAGGGCGCTGGTTAACCTTAACAGCCTTTGCCCAGCCTGGGAGGGGAGAGTGGGTGGCAGATGCATGGGGGCAGGGAGAGAGGACTGAACACCATGCACGTCTGCAGATGGGCGGGCAGCAGAGGGCACAACATAGAAGATGAAGCTCATGACTACCTGCGGGGCAGGGAGACATCCCGGCACCTCCCCAGGCAGGCTTGCAGGATGGCAGCAGCCAGGATATCACACAGCTACCATCCCACGGCTGGAGGAGGTGGCGAATGATACCCGTTAGGCTATGTCCTCCAAAGACAAAGTCCACTCTCCCCACGGGGAAGCCTATGAGCCATTGGAACCCATCCATGCCCTTTGAGCTACCACCCGGGGCTGCGTTTTGCTTTGTTTTGTTTTTACTGATTCCGACTCTCCAATAGAGACAAGGAAGACTCCTCAGGCTTTTAGGCATGCCTCTCTCCCCATGTGAGACCACACAAGCTGACAGGGGAAAAACAAGGAACTTAGAAGAAACAGAGACAAGGTCAGGACTGGAACACAGCTTCAAAAATGTCTATCACAAATACTCTCCGGGAGACAAAAGTAGATATTGCACCTGCAACAAGAGCAGGAGAAGGGAGATGGATGATAGATAAATAGATATATGAGTAGCTGAAGCTACTGACGTACACTGTCATATACAGCATCAAAGCCCAGGGAAGAGCTCTCGGCTATTAAAAGTGATGGCAGAAATTCAAAATTCAATAAAAGGTTTGAAAGATAAAATAGAGGAGATTTCCCTGAAAGTGGAACGGAAAGAGAGAGAGTAGGAGACAGAGAAAGACAGATAATGGGAGAGAAAATGAGAACATTAAAGAATCAGTTCAGGAGGTCAGTCATTTGACCGTTAGGAATGCTAGAGAGGTCCGGAGAAAATGGAGGGGATAATTATCAAAGAAATAATAGAAGAAAATTTCCCAGACCAGAAAGAGGCCGGTCTGCGGATTGAAAGGGCCATTAGAGGTGCGAGGGATGTGATGATAACGGCTCAGACTCCAGAGATGAGAGGCCCCAGGAGCCACCCTCCACCTGCTCACTGGAAGGCAGTTCCCCCCACAGGGGGAGGAGAAGTAAGTTATAGATTATCTGACACACTTGCTCATGTAACAAATAATATCGATAGAGATTTTCCAGTTCTGTTGAATCACAAAGCAAGAACTATGAGACATGCCTAGAACAGAAAGCAAACCAAACCCGAGCGGAAGCGTAACACGGTGCAAGGAAGGAAGCCCAGCTCTCGCACAGCACCGGCTCAGGAGTGAATGCTTTTACTTATTGTTGTGTAAGGAGAGAATATTGATTCAAGTTTTTAAAGTGTAATCTAAATTACATTATGGGGAGGAAGCGCAAAGCTAAGAGCTAAGATCTGTGCCATAATAGGAGGTTGATAGATAAGGTCAAAAATTGTTCTGTCCAGACAGAGGGGAGAGGGAACGTGGGAACAGGGTCCACCTGCCCTGGGTAGGTGGCAGCGGGTATCTGTTGAGAGGTGCCTGAGGGAACCCCCAAACTCAGATTGGGGGTTGCTCGTTTGGTTACACAGTCGCATGCATTTGTATGAGCTCGTGGATTTGTATACCTAAGATCTGTGCAAAAACGTCCCTCTAAAGAACCACAAGTGCACGCATGGTGCGTGGCCATGAGGTGGACTCACACCCACCACTTACGCTGAAATGCACCAGGAACAGTGCAAAACAGGCAGCAGGATCCTGGGCATTCCTGGCAAATTTCCAACTCTCTACATGTTGGACATTTTTCATAATCAAGTGTTGGGACAAAAGCAGAAGCATGGTTATGTTACTTAGATGAAGGGCTGGAACCACCAGGACAGACAGCCAAGGCTTGGCAGTGGTCGTCTCGGGAAAGGGGGATTAGAACCGGAGGTTCTCCTGCAGAGCCTCTGGACATTCTTTGTGTTTTATATTCTGTGTGTAAATGATTTTGGTTTCAAACACTAACTGTAAAAAGAAAAGAGGACTTGTGCATTGGAATGTGTGCTCCAGGGGAAAAGTGTTTACACACACGTCAGTGACTTCATCATTTGGGAGACATCCTGGCCTAGAGAGGAGAATGTGTATGTGTGTGGGGGGGGTGGTGGTGGTGGTGGTGGTGGAGGTCCTCCGTGTCTTGAGAGAGAGACAGAGAGAGAGAAGGGAGTAGGAGGGAGAGGGGGAGGGGGAGAGAGCAGGAGGGAGAACAGGTCTCCAGTTTCAGGTAGAGCCCTGGTGAGGGTGACAGACAGCACTCGGGGCAGAAGAGGGCTCATAGCTGTTTGCTTATTGTAATTACTACTCTTTTGTCTTCCACCAGTTTGGCTTTGTTTTGATAAAATCTGTGCCATGGAAACCCGGGAAGGGTTTTCCAGGCTGTTTCTGTGTATCTAAGTTACAAAGGTGGAAGAGACAGCAAGACCTTTGCTTGTAGAGCAACTGCCAGGGAGGATCCCCCTCTCGGCCCTGCTCCCATCTGCACCCCCAGTGCTCCTCTGGGTGTGACCCTGGAGGTCCTGCCCTTCCTTTAACAGGAGCGACTGTTGCCTCACACCCCCCTGCCCACCGTGCAGACTCATTGCCAGAGGGGGTGCTGGACACAGACTCCAGCAAAGCCTGTCCTTTGCCCTTGAGCGAGGCCCTCATCACCCCCAGCACTTCGCAGGCAGAACCCCTCTCGCACCTTAGATGGGGAGAAGCTGGGGTGGAGACACAGCCTCCCAACTCACAGGGGAAAGGGAATTAGAGAAGCCGAGGGCCTGGAGCAACACCTGGAGCCACTCTGCAGAAAACAATCTTCCAGCCTGAAAAGTGGAGGGGGCTGGGGCCCTTGGGCCTCTCCCAGTGCTGTAGAAACACCGGGGGAGGGGGCGCTTCGCCCCTGGGGAAGGGACTCGGAGGCCTGAACAGGCTGTGCGGTTGCTGTGAGCTTCCCGCGAGAGATGCCCAGAGTGTGGGCAGCTGGTATGAGAGACAGCCATGCACCTCTGGCTGGCAGGTGCCCGCCCCCGGTGACAGTGAGTGGCACCGAGCAGGGACGCCCAGGGCTCTGGCACAGAGCCGGCAGCTGCCACTGCGGAGGTTTTTTATGCTAATGCCACTTGTCAAGCCGTCAGCACTCAGGGCAGCTGGACCTGACAAGGAAGCAGCTGGGTCCCCTGGGTTTCTCCTCCCCTGAGCCTCTCTCAGGTCCTCTGAGACGTCCAGCAAGAGCCATAGCTGACACTGACCTTGCAGGGGTGCTGGAGGGGAGGGGAGGGTGCTGGAGGGGCGGGGCAGGGAGTGCTGGAGGTGGGGGGATAGTGCTGGAGGGGTGGGAGGGCAGTGCTGGGGGGCAGGGGGGTGCTGGGGGACAGGAGGCAGTGCTGGAGGGGCAGGGGGCAGTGCTGGGGGTGCGGGGTGTGTGTGCTGGAGGGGTGGGAGTGCAGTGTTGGAGGAGCAGGGAGTCTCAGTGGGGAGAGAGGACCACTGGTGCTCCTCAGGGCCTCACTTGAGGAAATCCCACCCTCCTCCAAACAGGTACCCATTCTGGAGTAGGATGGATGGTGCAGCTGTTCTTCCTAGTGGGATGGGAGTGGAGAATTCACTTTTGATCATTTCCCTTGGTCCCAAGAGCCTGGTCTGGGGTAAGAGGAAGAAGACGGGGCCCGGGAGAGAGCCCTGGGTCTTTCCTCTGGTTCCCTCACGCGCGCCGTGTGACCTTGGACAGGTAACCGTACCTCTGCAGTTTGCTCAGCGACTCTTTGTCCTGGGTATCAGTCAGTCACTGCCTTCCCTGGGGAAGGCGGGGCGGTCTTCAGAGCCAGAGGGTCAGGGGCGCAGGTGCACCTCCCTGGACGGGAGTGCAGAATGGTGGCAGGGGTCTCCCGGGGCAGCACCAGTGGCCTCGTCTGAGCCTCAGGTCTGTGGGGTTCCTGAGAGATTACTCTGCAAGCTGTGAGGCAGGCAGCGTCTGCGGGGAAACCTGCTTTCTGTCTTTGCCCTTGGAGGTGGGGAGCAGGAGAAAGAGCTGATGGTGGAGTCTGGAGACCCACGGCTCCTACCCACCATGGTCTGCTGGGGCCGCGTGACCTTGGCTGAGGATGCTGGCTTTCAGCGGGTCTCATCCTTCTTGAGAGCTCGCTGAAGGGAAGGGGAGTGCCCCCACCAAGTCCCTGTGTCCCAAGGAGGGAGTCAGCCAGTGTGCAGCCAGCAGGTGGGGCCCTCAGCCACGCCTGGTGGGTCCTGGTCACCCACCCCATGCCACCCATCAGCATCCCTTCAACGGGTGGGATAGTTCCCGGTGACTGCTCTATGGTGGGTTCACCCAGCACTGAGGCTGGCCATAACCCATTCACTCAACAGTCTCTAAGGAACTGCCAGGCCTTCTGGGCACTAGCTGCAAGCGCCCAGCCCCTCCCACCCTGCCTGACACCTTCTTTGGTGAATCCAATTTGATTTTGATCTTAAATCTGCCCTAAGTGCCTGGGAGCAGAAGCCATGAGTAGGGTGTGGAGCACAGAGAGCACGCTGTTTGCCAACAATTGTGACACAGGCCCATTGGGAAGGGCTGGCCGCACGCACAGACACTGTAAACTGTACCTGGGAAGGCTGGGGCTGACCCTGGAGCAGGCAGGCATCATCCTGGAGGGCTGAAGCATGGAGGGGCTCTGCAACCTGGCCAGGGTCGCCTCCAGGCTCCGGGCCCTGGTGCCCTGCGAGGGCCCTCCAGAGGCAGCTGTGTCCTGGGCGTCCTCTGTTGGCCTTGCCCGATGCTGCTTCCCTGCCTCTGTGGGACTCCAAGAAGTTAGAGCCCAACAGCGACTGTGTTCTGGGGGATGGAACCCTGCGGGGATAGAGGTAACGAGTCCAGGATTATAGCGCTTCAGAGAGAGGGCGTCGGTCACGTGGCTGCTGCTCTGGCTGCCTGTTTCTCCCAGGAAGGGGCAGCCGCAGAAAGATGGCCCCTTCTCCCAGTAGCTGTAGCCACACCAGCTGCGGGCCAGAGTGGAGGTCCCGGTCACATGGATCTGTAGGGTGCAGCACCGGGCCCTGCTCCAGGAAGTCCTCAAGTGCCAGTGCAGCATGCTCCCTCTAGGAGACCCAGCCCACTGCTCCTGGGGAGAAGCCATCGCCGCCCCGCACTTAGCCTGTGGCTCAGAAGACAGCAGTGGCCAGTGGCTGCAGACTGGGTACCACGGTCAGAATGCCTCCATATGAAATCTGGCATCCACCACTTCCTGGGTGACCTTACACAAGTTTCCTAACCTCCCTGCTGTGTGTCAGTTTCTTTCTTTTCTTTCTTTCTTTCTTTTTTTTTTCAAGATTTATTTTTCTATGGCGTAACAGGTAAAGCCGCCACCTGCAGTGCT